ATTATTTCGGGGGTGTGTGAGGGAGCCGGACAAGCAACGGGCACCGGTCCATCGCAGGGCATATTAGTGACATAAAGGAACGTGAACCACGGTTTTGATAGTATGACGTGTCTAAGACTTACTGTACAAAGTTCAATTAAGAGTTAAAAGCGAGCCCACACTCTGCCGCTGGGAGGTCCCTCTGCAAATACCCAGGACGCCTCACGAGTAAGACCGTCCCTGAAGGTGACAAACCACATCTAACCATTGTGCTATGAGTATCGTGCCTTTACCCAAATCCCTTCACACATCAGTAGATGGCGCAACGCCGCTATAAGACGCCAGCGTGATGCTGTAGAAATCCCTTTAAGAAGTAAATAAGTATAAGAAAGAGGAATTTGGGGGCTGCAATCGTCCCATAATCATTCCCCAAGCATTAGTTTGAGCCAGTAGGTCATAATAGTGTTTAGTGTGCCTTTTTCTGAATAACATACATTCGATAGCGATACATGTTTTTTAAAGTGTTACACGAGAAGTAACATTTTAAAGTAGACGATACATCGGGTGGGAGGGCAGTTCTGGTTCTGGAGATCCAGAAGTTTGCTGTTTTTTTCTTTCACCCGAGCCCTTAATAGATCAGGTAATTCATTTCTCGTGCCTAACTGCTGGGATGATCAGAAACAAATTAGTTGAGATCCGAGCCACTAAATTAGCAGGTATTCAGTTGTTATTTCAGTCACGGTAACCGGCTGACTGAAAATAAAGGGGGAGGATTGAAAATTAGAAGATTGCTGTGTTCTGGACAGACAAAAGGGGTCACACTGTATAATATCAAGAAAAGTTTGTTCGGGTTCAGGAACTTCACATAGAACAATCAAGAATCTCCGAATCTAGGTGGGTCAGAATAATTAAAACAAACACACTCCAATGGTGTCATGTAAAGGTTATAGTATATACCACCAAATACAGATTTTGATTCTAATTCTGAACTGCATAATGAAATGGAGAATTTCTGTGCAAAAGAAGAAGCAGTTTTTATGGCAGACATTCCCAATGTAGACCTACAGCAATATCAGCAGCACAGGCTGACATGCTGGACAGGGTTAATGACTGCTCTCTTACCCAGAGCACCTACAGTACTGTACAAGAGGGAATGCCTGTGCAGATCGTGTCTCTTCACTCGATCAAGACAGAGTGAGGCGATCAGAGAGGAGAGAACCTACCAGGAACTGTGATCGTGGTCAGCTTTGAAGTATATTTTAAAGCTGTTCAGGTTGAGACCAAAGCAAAAAAACTGACAGTCTCTGGAAAGCAGATGTTGTAAGGAGAACCACAATTGAATACAGGTATAATGGGAAGGAAAGTTGGTTATTTCAGCAGCCATATCACCCTGCAACTCACAACTGGCAGCCCACTGAAGCTCAGCAGGTGTGAGCCTGGTCAGTACCTGGATGGGAGACCTCCTGGGAAAAATTAAGGTTGCTGCTGGAAGAGGTGTTAGTGGGGCCAGCAGGGGGCGCTCACCCTGCGGCTCATGTGGGTCCTAATGCCCTAGTACAGTGATGGGGACACTATACTGTAAACAGGTGCCGTCCTTCGGATGAGATGTAAAACCGATGTCCTGACTCTCTGTGGTCATTAAAAATCCCAGGGTGTTTCTCGAAAAGAGTAGGGGTGTAACCCCGGCATCCATTGACCCTTACCAATCATGGCCTCCTAATAATCCCCCTCTATGAATTGGCTTCATTACTCTGCTCTCCTCCCCACTGATAGCTGGTGTGTGCTGAGCGTTCTGGCGCACTATGGCTGATGTCGCATCATCCAGGTGGGGGCTACACATTGGTGGTGGTGGAGGGGAGTCCCCATTACCTGTAAAGCGCTTTGATTAGATTGTGCAGTATATTGGCACAAACATGGGAAATGTTTAGACAGTTAAGCTGTTGTGCTAAAGGAATATTTCACTCAGGTGTTCCCTAATGAAAAAGTCTCATGTTTCAGGCTCTGTTAGGGCAACATTCTGTATAAAATAATACTGGCACACAAGAGGGAGAAGTGTTTTGGATACGCGAAGCACCCAGATTAACACTTCCCTCGAGCCAAACAGGATTTTAGCCTTGTACTAAAAATGAAATATGTTATTCAGAAGCTATTGACAGAACTCGTCAACAGTTCCTTAAGACAGGTCGCACCCAGGGACTAGAGAACTGCTAGTATATACACATCCTTCAAAAGGGTAAGAAAAGTGAACCAGGTTTTTACAGACCAATAAGTCTGACATCTGTTACATATAAATTCCTTTTCTGTTATGTGTGAGGTAATGGAAACAAATCTAAAAACTAAATTTAAATGATCACCTATGAGGAGAATTGATCTTTTAAGGGGATCCAGTTGTCTGAATACTGAATACAACTTACTGTATATACAGTAATTGGTTTAAATGTATATTTTTTAAATTTTTAAGTTTTATATATACATATATATTTATATTTTAAAAAAATATATCTATTATTTTAAGTTTGCCTGTACTATTGGGTGTCAATGATTTCAAGTGTACTGATGTATGCATTATTACTATGAAACAATTCTATTAATTACTGGAACATGAGCAAATGGACAAAATATTTGATGAGGGAAAATACTTAACACCCATCCATTTTCTTGCTGCTTCCTCCAATGCAATGCCATGGGGGAGCAAGAGCCTATCCCAGCAAGCAACAGGCACAAGGCAGGGTACACCCTGGACAGAGACAGCAGTTCGTCACATCACAGACCCCACACAGATCCCACCCTAGGTCGAGAACTGAACCCAGACCCCCCCACACTAACCAACCACTGCTCCAACCTGCTGCCCAAATTAAAAACACCTTACAGAAGACAGCAGTCGTTTGCATTGAGCTTTCTGCCATTTGGAACGCCATTAACACCTCAACCGTTTGTAAGTGTGTCTCTGTGCATTCCGATAATAACAACAGGAAGAGCAAGATCAGTGCTTTGTAGAAAATAGTTCCAGGATATGTCTCGTTGAGGCGTGTGAGACCTAATCTCTCAATCTTATAATCTTATAAAAAATAAGCAAAGTGCTCATAAATATTTTCTACCTAAACCGAAACCTAAAATCAACAGGAAAAAAAAAACGAGATCTGTGGTGTAACAGTTTCTTTAAACACTAGCTACCGAAACCACTTGAGCAACGAATAGCTTCCTGTTCTCGGAAACCGAGACGTGAATTAGATTCGTATCAGGTGGTTTTTTTCTCTCTTTGCGTCTTCAGCTTGTTTACCAGAAAAGCGGGCATGAAGAGTCCCTTAAGGTTATGAAGTAGCTAACATTTTTCATCAAGTTGTAGGCTGAATAAGAAGTCTGTCTGTATATATATAAAGCACACATTTGTAATCAGTTAAGCACTGGCTCTGTCTCTCTACCAATATACATGAGCAATCCAACAGTCTGTTCTGTACTGATTGGCAACTAGCAATTGTAACAGATCTCTCTTATTTTCTAAATTGCCATCATCTTTTGCCAGCTGCTTTTCTGAAAGTGTAAAACTAAGAATGTCAGCTTTAGACTCTACCTAGTGTTTTAAAATCTACCACTTTATGGATCCAACTCTCAGCTCTGCCTAGGTTATTTAGAACTCTTAGACTGGGACAAGAACCTTCCTTTTGAGAGCAGCTTCATAAATTCATTTGACAAGCAAACAAAGGTGTTTTCATGTCAGCCTCAGCTATTGCAGCTGAGAATTCTCTATCTGTGTAAGGGAAATCGAAGTCCCTTCTTGTTATGTTGTCACTAATTTCTGATTACACTGTGTAACATTTTGTTTTGTATTTACAAACTGTGGTGTTTCTCAAATTTTCAGACTATTTTGTAAAGTAGGGTCCTGTGCTCCCTGCCTGCCCACCATTTCCTAAATAGAGTTTCGGCATACAGATGACGTGACATTTGATTGAAGGATGCCACGGCCTCAGCCAGCCTTGTTTAACAGGTTTCTTCAGATGCAGTTACACCTACCGACAAAAGACAGCCTAAGGTTTCATGGTAAGTTAGGAATCAGCCCAAGCAAAGAGGAGGCAAGTGTTCAGCAACTCAGTCACCCCCAGAACCCAGTATCCCACCTTCTCCCAGACCAGCTCCATCACAGGACAGCACTCTCAACACACCCTGAGGGCATCTGGAAATTAATCATCACGCTGGAAGCACTTGACTCTTTTTCTCTGTGGCCAGATTAGCAGGGGATCTATCAGAATTTCAAATTTAAAGATCGCTTTTGGAATGAAAACTTGAGCTACTGCACTCCTTGTGGACCCTTCTGGACTAATCCACTGCTAATAAAGTTTAGAATTTCTCTGAAACTCCTGTGTCACATCTTTATTACCTGATGTTTTTACGAGGAACCTGAAAGACTTTCATGATTGTGACTTTCCACAACCAGAGAAAGCACCATTAATTCGGATGAAACATATTTCTACCTTTATTTAACTAAATACCTCAGCAGAAATAAAATTCTCATTCATAATAAGGACTTGCAGACCCAACAATCAAGCATTTTATTTACCAGTATTTACTGGACAGTCTGAAGCAGCCGTTGAACCTTCTGCCCTCTGGTTTGGCATCCTGAGCCCTAACCTCTACTGCCCAAAATTCACAAACACCAGCTGTAAAACAGGGATTCTTTACGAAAGCATTATACTCATTCACAAATACCTGGAGGCTTCTCCTGTACTGCGAAATTAATGAAAACATTCAGATGTGGCATCTGTAAAATAGTTTTATTGAATTGAATGAATTAGAATAAAGATAAATACATAATCAAGGCTTTTCACATGCAAGGTTAGCAAAGCAAACAGCAAGGTGAACAAGGACATGCAAAACTATTGGCAGAACAGGGGAACAGACAACAACATGCTCAAGTCCTATAAAAAAAAAACTTTGCTGTCATCCACAGCATTCCAGCTCTGTTCAACCGTTCAGCTGGGCAGCAGGAATGATCAATATTCAACATGTCAAACAAGAATAAAGTAACAAAAACTTACTCTTATATAATGAATAATGGAATATGAGTTGCATGGCTATTACAGAGTTGAAATGATCTGAAACTTGACCTAAACTACAGAATAAGAAAAACAAAACTCTTCATCTTCCAACTACTATTCCAATCGGCACAGAATCCTGGTCTTCAAAGGTGTGGAAGATCTCATATCGGGATTCCAATAAATCTGTAAAATAACAATCGATCTCTTTTTACTCACTATTACTTTATGTTGTGCATTATTCCATGTTTTTTTTTAATATTCAGCCCAGTCACATAGTGAAAAGGTCCTTTCTCATTTGAACTTATTCTTTTTGTGTAAATGTACTGAGCATCCAAAGAAACTCATCACATATCTGCTCCACACTTTGCATCGGGTTGCTGATGCTCTGTGTTTCTTTCTGTGCCTTTCCCGTGCAACATACAGTAGATGAGCATGTGAGCAATCGCTTGTCTCTGAGGCCAAGATACACATGCTTCCTTCCACTTGATGTGTCAGAGGGTTTGGCTCCTATCTATGGATTTCTATCAACACTCAAGAGGTTAAATTAGGCCAGCCATGAATAATCAATCGTCAAAATGATGTCACGGATATTTAATCAATTTTCAAAGTTGGCATTCTTCATTTTTTTAAAAACACATCCTTGCAGAACTGATGAGTTTGTTTTGGCACTCTGGATATATTATTTAATAAACACTTCTTTGGAAAATTAGGAGTACTATTTCTAGTTTGGCACCAATGCTTGTGTGGGGAGCTGTGTCAGAATTAGTTGGCTGCAAAGGAATAAGTTCTGTTGAAACTTGAAAAATAGAAATGAATGCTGAAAAACAGAGAGGAGAAATGTCTCTTTTTCGGCTATTGAGCCATCTTCGGGTGTGCGTATTTTCAACAGTGTTAAAGGCTCACCTTTGTTCTTTCAACAGTGTTGAAATCTCGGCAGTTGCAAAGTGATGTTTCTCCCTTTTATTTTTTCAACTTGGAATTAAACTTTACTTGTTCCTTTTGCAAAATCAGAAAATTGTATGTTTCTATTTCTCACATCTCTTATGTTCACACCAGTCAAATTATATAATCATATATACAGTATATATATATATTCAGTCGCCTTAAACAAGCAGCCAGGTTACAGGACATTACTCATGTATTGATATCCTGTATTGCCCTGCTGTCAGTCAGACCTCTATATCCCCAAACGGGGTGATGAGAGGGGGGAGGGGTACAGTGATTCTCATTGCATTGAGAAGTATTGTATCCGCAGACGTACCTTAAATGATCATGGCTCTGACAGTCATCAGCATATTGAACGTGACGGTTTTTGCAAACAGCATTCTCAACCCATTCACAGTCAGTGACATGAAATTCAGCTTGGCAAAATCTGAAATAAAAATGATTTATCAGGTGAAATATAATCACAAGCATTCACGAGCTGTTTGCACATTGTGCGCTACTTGGAATGCTGGTAGAAATGAACCTATGAGATGCAAATATTTATTATATTTAATGAGGTTATGACACTGAGCCAGTCATAGACAATTTTTGGATACTTATTCTGGCTTGATAAAAATGTAAATATCAGAACGATCGACACCAGACTGTAGGAGGCTGGGGAGTCTGTGTCAGTATTGATACATGTGGGATGCCTCTTCAGAAGAGAATATTTAAGGATCAAGGAGAAAACTCACTGTATGTCATGATGACCTAATACCCCAGATTTATGACCCTCTGGTTAGTCTGTGTCCTACTTGCAAAATGATTGTTTAATGTCAAATATGTTTGAAGTAGACATGTGCAGGATAACGTTCTGGAGACTATGTAAGTGAACTATAACTTAAATTACACAAAATGATAAGTATACATTTAAATGATACTGTATAATTTATGTATGTTGAACTATATATTTAGGTCACTCAAATTCTTTTTTTCTGTGGGGAAAAATATTTGATTCCGCATTTCCCCAACACAGAAATACTCAGCCTGAAGTGTGTTTGTGAATGAGAATCATTCTCTTTCTCAAGACGAGCTACTTGTTACGAATCAATCCTTCCTCCTGTTTAAAAAAAAATGAGCAATTTCTCTTTCAACTGTCTTTGCTGGGAAAAGCCATAAAGACAACCCTAGCAGACAGTGAACATAGATATGAGAGATCACTTTATTGGCCCTATACAATTTCTTGCATTAAGAATTTGTCTTTTTCACATATCCCAGCTTGCTCTCCAGGAGACACACAGACAGGGAGAGAAGCCAGAAGTCAGAGCGCAGGGTCAGCCATTTATACGGCGCCCCTGGAGCAGCTGGGGTTAAGGGCCTTGCTCAGGGGCCCAACAGAGTCGGATTCCTCTGATGGCCATAGGATTTGAACTGGCAACCTTCTAGCCACAGGCACAGATCCTGAGCCACAGAGCCATTGCTCTGCCCTCTGTTTTTTAAGATAAGGCACATATGAAGGCAAAACGCTGGTGAATCCTACCAAACTACAGTGATTGCTACAGTAATAGTTCTCTTGCCTGGCCACTCCCAGGAAAAAATCCTGTTGTAATCAGTTAATAACCATCAATGATATTTCCCTTTCCACACACTGGGCTTCGTTAACGTATTTCTGCAGTGCACTAGATTGTGGACTTTCGACATGAGAAAAAAAAACATTTAAAAGGCATTACAAATACAGTACAATCTACCTTTGGTGTCTTTCTTTGCAGTATCATTTCTAGATTGGCATTCTTCCGTTTCCACAGTGGGTGTTGCGGTGGTAGCTTTATAAAAAGAAAGATCAATTTATTAGATAAATAAATTCATGACAAGAAGTCAGCAGCATTGACAGACGTCAAATTAATTTACAACTAAAAGTTTGTTCTGTTGTTCGTTCCAAAACAAGCATTGATGACTTCCTCTTGGTATTTCAGTCCATGTGCTGGTTTAAAATATTTATTAATAATTACTATTTCACAAAGCAGAAGCAGGCTCAGACTTCGCTGCGATGCTGAGCTGGAAAAAGTGTTGAGAAAATGGATGGACGGATAGTTCAGTAGATTTATTCAATCGCTGGTGCCAGAGGTCATGAAGATGCCTGAGAAAGATCCTTTAAATTGTTTGGGGCATAGAAATAAAAATTGTCTTTGAAAATTCTGTGCTTTCACATTAGCTGAAGGTCTTTGCTGTTAAATGCCTCTATATCGTGGCCTTTTTCGTTTGAGAATGCCAAAAATCTGTAATTCTTCTGTTATTTTTCTTTCATTGTTTTTTTTATTCAGTTGGAGTGCTCAAGCATGGATAAAATTAAATAGCACAAAAAAGATCAAAATTACTTTCATTGATTTCCCTTTAAAAAACGTTATATATAATTATATGTACTGTATATCGTATAAAATAAATGCAATGCTATTTTCTGCACATCACGTTTGAAAAGAATCTCAAATTGCAGAACCTAGATATTTAAATCTTCAACTTTGTGATTTTACATAAACGAAGCAGAACATTTTCTAAGAACACCAATTGCCCAATTATTTAACTGTAAAACAAAATCTCCCATAGCTGTTTCTGAGGCAAAAAGACAAGCTCCTTTCTTTAAGAATGGTCACACAGAAGTGCAGAAGTCAAAAAAGGTAAAGTTTTTTTTTAAAAGAAGCAGTTAAATCCTTTTCCAGTTTTAAAGAAAGTACAGATAGTAAAGCATTCTGTAGGAAAACATCTGAAAAACACTGATTTGGATTTGTAAAGATCAAACTTCTCTGAATGTCGACTCCTTTGAGAACTCGTTCCGTTTTTAATTCCAACTAGCTCGGCTGTCTGCAGGGGCTTATCTGAGGATATAGTGGACTAAAAAAGGTCTGTGAAGGTCCAGTGAAATGACTAAGTATTTAGAGAAAAGTTAAAGGAAAAATTCTGCACTTTTGTTAAAATATTGCAGAACTAACTCAAGCACATCAGGTGACACCTCAATAGTACAACATCATTTGTCTTCTCCGACAGAAGCCACAGGTGCATTCTCCTGACTTTGGCCGAAACCAAAAGCAGAATGTCACATTGCCCTTTCACGGTTTTCTTGATACAGATATATTTGACTTTTATTCACTTTCTCTTCTTGCAGACTGAATCTTGCAATCATATTTCACTTCACCCCCCACACTCTGCATTCTGTGATTATGAAATGCTCGATAAACTGTTAGAAGTGTTGGGAAATGTAGAACCAAATGCAAATGTAGATGGAGAAACATACCCTTTTCGCTGTCTTGTTTTTTCTGAGACGCTCTTCCTTTATGTGTGCAGCTTTTAATTCCATTATCAGAAACTCCCGCCAAGTAATATAACCTGTCCTTTTTGGACAAAAGTGCCAAATCCTTAGAATGTGATGATACTTTGTCATTGTTGTCAGTCAAAGTCATATCTCCATCATTATCAAAGTACATTGATGCCAGGCAAGCTGTTGGTCCTTTATCATCAAATGGTTGCAGTACATTCAATGTGCCCTTCACTGTATCACTTCTTTCTGAAAGACAGAAATAAAAAGGTTTTTTATATACTCATTCCCATTTCCTGCCATATTTGATATTACTGGTGTTAACGTTTTGCAGGAAAGAGAGGAGAAACATTTATGAAATGCAGAGGATTCTGAATACGTTTTTATCTATAAAAAAAAAGGTATACAGAATCTCTGACTTCCACCTCCACTGTTGCTGATCACTGATTTATTAAGACATCAAGCAGTGAAATCAAAATCTGCCGTCAAACAGAATGTATTATATTTAATAAATCACTAAGATCCTTGTACTTGAATAAGCCTACATTACTATTGCCCTCTCTTTGAGTCAATTGTGTCTCAAGATTCTAATATTCAATTATACCTCATTGAACTATAGTACAGTATACCACTCAATACAATAGTGATCATTTTACACTTGATTTTCATTTAGAGTCTTGCAGGAAAGTCATACTGATATTCAGTGATTGAAAGTACTAATGTTTGATTCCTTATGCCCATATAATACCAGAAAGAGCACAGACGTTAACTCATTAAAATGATCCTTGTTGATTACTTCAGTGTTGATTACTTCAGTAATCAACATTCAATAAGACATTAATAATTGTTTTTTGAAACAGAGGGGAAAACACTTATGGTAATAAACATTAGAGAAATAAACACTGGAGGTAAACCTGTCTAGCTTAGTACAGTATATTTAAAGCAGGTCTTACTAAAACGTATGTAAACATGTGCAATTTATAAACACAATCTTTTGCTTCTTTAGACAGATATTTTACAGATCTTACATTAGGCAAAATAAACCAGAACTACTGTTCCACTATATCCAGTAAAAGATATGTCAGTACGATTTTAATTACTTTTTAATTAGTCGGGCAAAATACATTCCAAAAATCAGAGATACAAGTCCTTAAGAGATCACAACTTAATTAAAGATACCTATACGAAAAGGCTTACTTTAGACGGTACAATTGTAGTAATTATTCTTATTCACGCAGAAATTAAATCTTTTAGCTATCCTGTACAAACTTTCTTAAATGTATAATTTTGTCAGGGTCTAATTTATTTGCTATGAGCGACGTTAACCTGACGCGGGGTTCCTAAGTCATATTATCACGGTATTTCTGGATTTTGGCAACCGCCAGTAAGCAAAATTAGTTATCTGCTTGTTAAAAAGTAAATGCGTATTACATTAAAGTAAAAAAAGCCGGTTGAATTATGTGGTTTAACAAACACTTTGGTGTCGCTTCCAAATATAACATAATGTAATAAATAAAATACAATATAATAAACAGCAGTAACTCACCATTGTGAAGCCTGACGAAATACCTTTCGGATACAGTTTGGAAACTTTGGGCGTTATCATTTATATCATGGATAGCGATTATTTTTCCAAGAAAGGTTTCTAGAGGTCTTTTTATTACAGCTTCAATGTCGGGAAGCGTAGAACACAATCTCTATCAATACACAATCTAGCCCTACGCGATCAATAAAATAATATTGATCACTCACTGGACTGAAATGAAGATACTGTAGATGAAACAACTTACTTGGATTAACGTGTAGCATTGTGCCTTTTCCAAAAATCAGCGGTCGTACGACATAGTCACCCACCACAAAGCGCTGGCACGTTACAAAAAACGATAATATAACCTCACGCTAGAACATCAATCTGCAATACCGATAGTTAAAATATGGCCCATACTGATCTTCAACTTAAAGCGGGAGACAAAGGCGATTCTCTAAGTGTACGGACTGGGAGATAAAATCACAAATATTTTCAAATTAATTGAGACTTTTAACGGAATTAGATCGAGAAACTTTAAATAAGAAACTGGAGACCCGGCGTTCTCACGAAGCTGCTCAAGGCCCTTAATTCATTTCTTTTTGGAGATAAATTTGAAGGTTTAACGGAGGCCTGTCTGTTCAGGGAAATAATACGTTTTCGTCAAGAATATACGCGTTCAGCCTCTTCACGGATATGCATGCTGAACTAATACCTCCAGGAGACTATATTTTCTAAGCATCTCCCCAACCATTCTAAGTTTATATTGCCACTTCTCGACCCGTTCTTTATCCCATGAGTTTTAAACAGCTCTCTGAACGGAACAAGGGAAATATCTTACTTGGTTTCACTGATAGGAGAGTTCCTTCTCCAAAAATCAGGGGTGCTATATCCCAGCCCACAGCGTTTGTGCAGCCGACAAGAACTCACTAAAATCTCGTCAGTATCACACTTGCACAGTGCAATACAGAACCGGACTGCAGAACCGAACAGTTACAATTATCCGAATATCAATACCACGATTATAATAGCTTAACCTTCCGAAGACACACATCTCGTGAAAAACATTGATCAGACCCAGATACAGTACTGATGGTTTACTTCAGCAGTCGCCGATGGGATTGAAGAAAAGGAAAAACGTCCTTCATATTTTACTTAAGTAAAGGTAATACATCTCCATTGATTCTAAAAAACGCCAACAACGGGTCTGAAGCGCTGTAGTCAGAAACACAGGGTCACTATTTATTCTCAAAATGTCCTTGGTAAGCACCTGTGGTCTGGACATCACAGCCGGTACCACATTACAAAACGATTAATCGATCATTTATCAATTTAAACTTATACTCATATTTGTGGGACTTGTTGTTCTCAATAATGCCCTGGTGGATTGATATGATTACAATGTTTCAACAATACCACAGAAAGACCTCTGTTAATGACTGCTGGAAAATAACTTTTTGTGACGTGCCTTACCAAGAAATTTAATTTTGTTTCGAATTTAAGCCAATGTTTATTACGTATATAAGATTAGATAACAAAGAGGAACCTTATCCTGTTTAGAAAAAAACGATCAGCCAACATAATATCTTATTTTGAAGGGTACAGGCACGGTGTTCTCACGAACCAGCTCACGGCCTTGAATTAATTTATTTTTGGAGAGAAATTTGAAGGTTTGACGGGGGCCCGGCTGTTCAGAGAAAGAACACGTTTTCATTAAGACTACACACTCGTACACCCTCTTCACCAATATAGGTGCTAAACTTACACCTCCAGGAGAGTATATTTCTTAAGGATCTCCCCAACCATTTTAACATTATATTGCCACGTCTCGACCTTTTCTGTATCCCATGGGTTTTAAACAGCTCTCTGAACGGAACAAGGGAAATATCTTACTTGGTTTTACTGATAGGAGAGTTCCTTCTCCAAAGATCAAGGGGAATACACAGCGTCTGTGCAGCCGACAAGAACTCACTAAAATCTCGTCAGTGTCAGCGCTGTGCTAATCACACTTGCACAGTGCAATACTGAACCGGACTGCAGAACATCGCAGCATCTTATTTTGAATTTTTTTGAAGGGTCATAAATTCGACGATAAAACGGCGGGGCTGTATGTTAAGCCGCACGAACGGACTCTAGCTAAACACTACGTACATTTTT